AAAAGAAGTGGCTCACAGAGGGTCGTCCTTTTCTATGTTCGGAGGTGAGACTGGGGAGGATGACGGGATGCAGGTTGTCAAGCCCGCCCCACATTCGACGTCCCACTTGCGCCATTTCTCGACGTGCGAACGGCCGAAATTGCAACAACCAGACCCAACGAACAAAACGACAGGATTGCAACAACCTGGCGTGTGCACGCGTGGGCACGAGGTTGCTGTGCGTGGCGCTCCCGACGGAGCACAATCCAGGCCCCGCAGCTGCGGATGAGAGGGAAAGACAGAAGAGGTGGAAAGAGCGAGAGAGAGAGAGAGAGAGAGAGAGAGAAAACAACAAACATTATCCCGGCAAAGCAACCTAACAGCGATGTGTAGGAGCATATCTGGAAGCATTCCCCTTAATATTCAGATGAAAATCCAGTTGTCGAATTTTGTTGTTCTCGCAGTCGTAGTCGCTTTCGCGATGACAGTCGCAGCGGCAACGGCAGTCGCAGTCACAGCCTCAGTCTGCCTCAGCCTCAGCCTCAGCCTGCCTCAGCCTCAGCCTGCCGCAGCCTCAGCCTCAGCCTGATTCAACCTAAGCCTCAGTCTGCCTTCAGCCTGGGCCGCAGCCCCAGGCTGCCTCAGCCTCAGCCTGCGTCAGCCTCAGCCTCAGCCTCAGCCTGCCTCAGCATCAGCCTGCCTCAGCCTCAGCCTCAGCCTGCCTCAGCCTCAGCCTCAGCCTGCTTCAGCCTCAGCCTCAGTCTGCCTTCAGCCTCGGCCTCAGCCTCAGCCTACCTCACCCTCAGCCTGCCTCAGCCTCAGCATCAGCCTGCCTCAGCATTCAAAATGTGGCCCGGGAGTGAAGTTCTGGGAACTCGAAGAACACGAAATGACCTACAGTTGGCTCCGGGCATTCAACATCATGCCCAGGAATGGAGTTCTGGGAACTCGAAGACCACGAAGAGGCCTACAGTTGGCTCCGGGCATCCAAAATGTGGCCCGGGAGTGGAGTTCTGGGACCTCGAAGACCCCGAAGTGGCTTACAGTGGCTCCGGGCATTCAAAATGTGGCCCGGGAGTGGAGCTCTGGGAAGTCGAAGACCACGACATGGCCTACATTTGGCTCTGGGCATTCAGAATGTGGCCCGGGAATGAAGTTCTGGGACCTCGAAGACCACGAAGTGTGCAAATGTTTGCTTAAAACGACTTCCGCGGATTCTCCCCGGCACCCGTCCGGCATCTGCCCAGACCCCCCTGGGGCGTCATGATGCTCTCTTTCGAGCCTACTAGAAACCTATCAGTCTTCGCTGTTAGGTAAAAACCATACGCGGGGACATTTTTTGTTCTAACATAAGACTTGTTCACGAATCCCTTGCAAATTATTTCGCTTCGGTATCCGGCCGAACTGCTTCACGTGCTCGACGAGCGTTTGCAGAGGACCGCTCAAGGCAGCACGCTGGAGAGCAACGCTGTTCCCTGCCGCAGGCTGAGGAGCACCGCTGTTCAATGCAGCAGGGTCAGGAGCACCGCCGCCAGACCGAAAACTATCAGCATGTCCTGGCATTAAGGTGCGCAGTAGGCGCTGCGCAGTTCCTTTGAAAAAGGAAATCTTCGAAAGCAGGGCTGTAGCCAAGAAGGCTACGGGGACGATGATGATGATGATGATGATGATGATGACGATGATGATGATGAAGATGATGAGTCTTGGGAGTCTGGGAAGTGGAAAGAGTGGCGTGCAGTTGGCTCCGGGCATTCAAAATGTGGCCCGGGAGTGGAGTTTTGGGAAGTGGAAGAGCACGAAGTGGCCTACAGTTGGCTCCGGGCATTCAAAATGTGGCCCAGGAGTTGTGTTTTGGGAAATCCAAGAGCACGAAGTGGCCTACAGTTGGCTCCAGGCATCCAAAATGTAGCCCGGGAAAAGATTTCTAGGAAGTCGAAGAGCACGAGGTGGCCTACAGTTGACTCCGGGCATCCAAAATGTGGCCCGGGAATGGAGTTCTGGGAAGTCGAAGAGCACGAAGTGGCCTACATTTGGCTCCGGGCATTCAAAATGTGGCCCGGGAACGGAGTTCTGGGAGGTCGAAGAGCACGAAGTGTGTGACTGTTTGCTCAAAACGAGCCCGGCCCTCGCCTGTCCGGCTCCCGCCCAGACCCCCCTGGGGAGTCATCGGATGCTCTCTTTTGACCCCATTAGAAACCTATCAGTCTTCGCTGTTAGGTAAAAAAAGCAAGCGAGAAATCACAACAGTTCGGGCGGAGTGTCCGTCTGGGCGAGCTGGCTACCGGCGCCCGACGCGCCCATCTCATGTGGCGGGAGGTGCCGCGAGTGCGATCAGGGTTGGGGAGACTACCCTCCCCCCCCCGGCGCGGTCTGTGGGGACCCCGGCTGGAAAGCAAAGACGGGAAGGGGTGAGAAGCGCGCACAAGAGAGACAGAGAGAGAGAAACCAAAAAAAGGCGCCCACGTTGCCTCGCCTGATCAGCTGGGTGCAAACGAGCGCGATGCAACAACAGGTGGGCCGCGGGGAGGGCCGCCGGCGGTCGGTGGGCTGCGCGGGCTGGGGGCACACGACACGGGGACTACGGCCACGAACTCTTGCTTAGCGAGTCGCGTTGGCGGCCGCACCAGCGACACACTCTGTGCCCTGCGAGCGGATAGCAAGTCGCCCCGCTCCGCGGAGGCGAGAGGCTGTGAAGGGTTCGGGATGCTGACGCCTGGGAGCCGAGACGTGGAGAGCGTCTCGAGCCGAAGCGTGGTGAGCCAGAACCGGTGTTTCCGCGTCACGCTGACCCAACGTTCCCGACCGTGCTTACCTGTTGTCCTCCAGAGCCGAGGCCAACCAAAAAACGAATAGGGGTGTGGGCGGGAGGCTGGGCGGGTGGTCGGCGCGTGGCGCAGGCAGCCTGCAACGGCGAGCCCACCTCTCGAAAGTCCAACGTATCTGGCGGGGCCGTGTCCTCCAAGATCTGCTCCGGCCCTCCTGCGCGAGCCTCCTTCTGCCTCCTGCTCAGGCGCCGTGTGGTGCAAGGCGATTTCGATCCACCGCTGGTACGAGAAAAACAAACACTGGGCAAATGTATGTTCGCATGCGCCCCCAGTTGGGTTTGTCCCTGGCCATAATGAAGTGTTGCGTCCTCGTTTTAAAGAGATAGCGCGCCCCGCGTCCTCTCCTCCTCTCCTCCTCCCCCTCCTCCAGCACTTCCCTCACACGCTCCGTGGTCCCAGAGAAACTCCGCCGAAAGTCCCAGTGGCCGCGTCCGCAAGGCGGCGCCGCACCAACTACGGCACACATCTCGCATGCTTCGTGGCAGTAACAGGAAAAGGAAGAGGAGGAGGAAGAGGAGGAAGAGGAGGGAAGCAGGAGGAGGAGCGGGAGGAGGGGAGGGAGGGGGAGGGAGGAGGGAGGAGGGAGGAGGGAGGAGGAGGAGGGAGGAGGAGGAGGAGGAGGAGGAGGAGGAGGAGGAGGAGGAGGAAAAGGAGGGAACAGGAGGAGGAGCGAAGGCCCCGGTGGGCGGCGTGCGCAGGGCGGCATCGCACCCATTTCGGCACACCTCTCGCACGTTCCGCGGCCCCACAGGGAGCTCCGCAGAAGGTCCCAGTGGCATCGTCCGCATGGCGGCGCCACACCCATTTCGCTACACTTCTCACACGCGTCGTGACTCCATAGGGGGCTCCACCAAAGTTCTCAGTGGCAGCGTCCACGCGGAGGCACCGTACCCATTTCGGCCCACCTGTTTCTCACATGCCTCGCGACCCTCGTGGCTGCATGTGGTTGGGTCTTCGCCAGGGTATTGTTGCCTCGACCATCCTTGGTGTTGGGACGTCGCTTTGAAGAGACAGCGCCTTGCGTCGCTCCTTCCTCATCGTTCTTTCCCATCCTCCTCCTCTCCTCCTCCTCTTCCTCCTCCTCCTCTTCCTCCTCTTCCTCCTCTTCCTCCTCCTCCTGATCCTCCTGATCCTCCTCCTCCTCCTCCGCCTCCTCCTCCCCCTCCTCTTCCTACTCCCATCCCTGCCACCCATGCCCCTGCCCTTCGCATATCTCGTTTGTCGGCAGGCCCCTCACACGTTTCGCGGCCCCATGAGAAGCTCCACCGAAGGCCCCAGCGGCAGCGCCCGCATGGCGTATCCGCACCCAATTAGGTACGACCCCTCACCGGTTGCGTTGCTCCAACAAGATCTGCACCGAAGGCCACAGCGTCCGCATTGGCATGGCGCACCCGGACCATATCCGGCACCCCCCTCACACGGTTCGTGGCCCCATCGGGAGCTCCACCGAAGGCCCCAACGACAGCGTCCGCGTGGCATACCCGCACCCATGTCGGCACACTTCTCACACGCTTCGTGGCTCCATGAGGAGCTTCACCGAAGGCCCCAGCGGCAGCCTCCGCACGGCGTACCTGCACCCAACTCGGTACAGTCCCTCACACGCTTCCTGGCCCTATGGGGGCCTCCACCGCAGGCCCCATATGGAGCGTTCGCACGAAGGCCTCTGTGGCCGAAGGCCCTCACCTGCCTCGCGATACTCGCAGCTACACGTGGTTGGGCCCTTCGCCAAGGTAAGCATGCTTGTGTTCGTTGGCTCCCCTTCCCGAAGGAAAACCTCCCTCTGTCTCAGTCTGCGGCGCAATGACCAGTGCACCTGCAGGGGCAAACATTGAGTGAGCCGCCAATGGGGTGACTACCCAGATGAAGTGTGAGGCGGACGGCACGGGATGGGCCCGAGGCGCCCCAGGACGACCGAATAAAGAAAGAGCAAAAGGGAAGGCGGCGCACAGCAGCACTGACGGCCCCAACATGAGGAGGAGGAGGAGGAGGAGGAGGAGCAGGAGGAGGGGGAGGAGGGGGAGGAGGAGGAGGAGGAGGAGGAGGAGGAGGAGGAGGTGGAGGAACAGGAGGAGGAAGATGAGGAGGAGGAGGAGGAGGAGGAGGAGGAGGAGGTGCGAGGAGGAAGACGAACCTGCTGCGCCCACCAGCAGGAAGGCATGCCGCCCCAGCGCCCTGCCCCGTGCGGCTGCACCGCTCCTCGGAGAGGTCGATCATGTGCGAGGAGAACAGCGGCTCGCCGTGCGTCTTGAAGTACCTGGGCGACCACGGACATGCTTTAACGGGCGAAGAACGGTACAATATCAACTTTGTCGCTGTCGGGGGCGCCTGTCCCAGGGCGGCTGGAAAGTTTGTACCCCTACGGTGGCACCGTAGGGGTATAAACTTTCCAGCCGCCCTGGGACAGGCGCCCCCGACAGCGAACAAGTTTATTTCATACCCTTCTTCGCTCGCTGAAATACTCGGTGCACACAGCTGGCTCGTGCCGCGACGACCTGCGCGGGCCTGCTTCTGGCACCGCGTGGGTCCCTCCGCTCTTTGAACCGTCGCGGCGCTCCGACAGCGCGGCTCGCTCGACATCGGACGCCTCTGGGCCACTGGCGTCGCTCCACCTCGGACGCCAGCACACGGGCCGCCGCCGCGCAGGAGGAGGATGAGGAGGATGAGGAGGAGGAGGAGGAGGAGGAGGAGGAGGGGGAGGAGGAGGAGGAGGAGGAGGAGGAGGAGGAGGAGGAGGAGGAGTCGCTCCACCTCGGACGCCAGCACACGGGCCGCCGCCGCGCCGAAAACGCCCCGCGCCTGTCGCGCGCTGGCGCTGCGCTCTCCTGGGGCTACGCCTGCCGCTGCACGCCTCCGCGGGCGCCTGCCGGACTTTTTCTGTCGGCCTCCGAGGGCGAGGCCACCCGCGCTTCCTTTGAGAAGGAGCTTCCGCGGGCCTCCCGCCACCCTCTGCCGAAGGCGCATTGCCGGCTCAGCCGCCCCTGAAAGGCGAGGCTCTTCCCGAGCGCTCTGGCTGGAGGCACCCTGCCCTCCAGGCCACTCAGGCATCCTTCTGTGGGATGGTGCTGCTGCCACGCACTTGTCCGTCGCAAACTGTTTTGTCAACGGCGAGGTGGGTCACGAAGCGTCGGCAGCAGCAACAACCGGGGCGCGGCAAAGACAATTGCGCACCTGCACGGACTCTTCCAAAAGCGTCCCAGTGGGGTCTCGGATCATGAGGTTCCTAATGGCTTTTCCGCCCAAGATTGTCTCAAGATCGCCCCAAGATGCCTATGTCATAGTGACCGCCAATCTGGTCCCAAGACGACTCAAAAAACATCCAATATGGCCCCAAGAGGTCCCGAGAGAGCTCCAAGATGCCCCCACGGCGGCCTAAGACGGACCTACGGACGGCCCAAGAGGCCACCGAGACTCCCTGAGAGACTCTCCACGATGACATTTCCAGGAGGCCAACATTCGCCGTCTCCTTGGGGTCTGCTCGGCGTCTGAGACTAATGTTAGGTCGGGCGTGTCCCCCTCCAGGGGGATTTTGACAACAAATAAAAAATAACAGCAAAATGCACCAAAATGGTCAAACAATACACCAAAAATAGTCCCCAGACTATGTTTTGACTATTCTTGAATGTTCCTCCTGTAGAAGGACAGGCCCGACTTAAGCCCAATGCCCATCCTCGGCTACACGCAAGAGTGACCCTGGGTAAGAGTGACCTTTAGTGCGCGGCTTTTTGGGCGCCGCGGGGGGACCAAACACAAGCACGCAAGACGCTATCACCGCATCGCGTTCGGCGGTCGGGGGACCCCATTTGGCCCGCACCAAAGGTCACTCCGGCGAAAGGTCACTCCTACGTCTGGTCGACATTCCCAAACCCCCTCCCCTGGGAGCCCGGCCCGGCCCGGCCCGCTTGGCGGGCAGGAGGGCCCCGCGGCCTCGGCTGCCCTGGAGATGCCCCCCGACGGCATTCAGTCCGCCTCGAGCGGATCCCGGCGCCTCGCCTCACAGACGGGCCCCCGAGGGCCCCCACGTCGCACGAGAGGAGGCCCCAACAACGTCCCAAGACGGCCTTCGGACCTTCTAAGAGAGCCTGTAGATGCGTCCCGAAGGCTCTAAGAGGAACCCCGAGAAGGCCCCACCACGTCCCAAGACGGCCTTCAGACCCTTTAAGAGAGCCTGTGGACGCTTCCCGAGGGCTCTGAGAGGAACCCCGAGAAGGCCCCAACAAGCAAACGTCAGCGCATTCCCGAAGGGACACTTACAGGTTCGGCACCTTCACTTTTTGTCTTCAGAGTGTCCACGACGGCCCAAGAGGCCCCCCAAACCGTCCAAAAACCGCCACACAAGACGGCTCAAGAGCTCAAGAGCCCTCCAGATGGCCCCAAGACGGTCAAGGAAGCCATCAAGAGGGCCGTGCTCCTGGAGGCTCCCAGTACGCCCCTGGCGAGGCCACCCAAACCGCCTCCCAAGGCGCCAAGCGGCTCCAGAGCGTCCGCAGACGGCCCAAGACGCTCCCAAGCTGCATCAAGAGGCCCCGAAGAAGCCCCCAAGAGGTCCTAAGATTACGCCCCCCAGATGCTCCCAAGAGGCCTTCAACAAAGAGTTCCCTGCTCTCCACATGGCCATGCCATGCGCGCCCCGGATGTGCACCTCGGAGCGCGAGAAAGCCGGCTTCCCACGCCTGTGCCTCTTCGTCTCCGCCCGCTTCCTCTCCGCACCCTCCGTATCCAATCCTCCCTCCGCTCCCTCCCACACCTGCACGCCCACGCGTGCCCCTCACCTCACCCTGCGCTCGATACCCAGACTCCACCGTGATCGGGAGGCGGAACCAGCGCCAGCACGTCAAGGATCAGCAGGCGCAAACGCTGGCAACCGCCACCAGGCTGACCATCCCGACACGCACGCTGACTGTTCCGAACCCTCCCTATGCCTATGGCTCCACCAGCCCCTGTGGACGAACCATGGTCAGAGCTGCTCCATGTCGACAGTGAGAGAATGCTCGGGGAGCCGAGAGACCCCAAGGGGTCGGTGGTGTGGCGCAAGCCTTCGGATGACTGATGATATGCACTCGGCGTTTTCCAATAGCTGTCGCGCTCTCGCCTTTCCGGGCCCCCGACATCCGAAGGCAGCCCCAGAGGTTTCCAATATAGCTCCAAGAAGGCTTCATAATCCCTCAAGGGAGCCCCAATGCGCGGCCACAGGGCCCAAGACGGCTCCAAGATGGCCCCAAGGCGGCACCACAGACTTCCAAGACGGCCCTAAAACGCCCAAGAAGAGTGCCCCACGACGGCCCCGATGGCCCCCAAGATGGCCTCTGAAGGTCGAGAGGCCCCTCGAAGGCCCTACAGGCCTCCCAAAAGGCGCCCAGAGGCCCCTGAGAGGCCCCTGTAGCCCGGAAGAGGCCCGCAGAAACGTCCAAGAGGCGCCCAAGAGGTCTCTTTTTCCTCCTCCTCCTCCTCCTCCTCCTCCTCCTCCTCCACCTCCCTCTCTTCTTCTGTCCTCCTCCTCTTTTTTGTTGTTCTCTCTCTCTCTCTCTCTCTCTCCCTCTTCCTCTACCAAGTGTTCCCGCCACGACTGGGAGAACACATGGTCCAATAGTTAGACCAGTCTTGGACCCAGCGTTTGGCCACATAGGTGCTTCCAAAACGCAGAGGGCGGAGGAGGTTCGCCGTAGGTAGAGGACCTCGGTGAATCTCGCTTATGAAGCTTTCTTGGCTTAACATGGTCCCAAGAGGGGCCCAGGGAGCCCCAAGAAGCACCAAAGACCGACCCCCCCGAAGACGGCCCTGGACTCCCCCAAGACGTCCCGAATTCGAGAAACGCACGGGGCCATTTTTTAATGTTTCGCGACAGGTGGCCGTTGCTGGCCCCGGCCACCCCCCTCTCCTCCCCCAGGTAACGTCACGATTCGTGGTGGCGTCCGAGCTGTCTCTGGCCATTGCTAAACATTCCCAGACGGCGCCAGCGGGAAACGTGACGTTACCAGCCCGCCCGCCCCCTCCCCCCCCCAGTAACGCTATCGCCAAAGACTCAAACAAGCGTTCTCCACAGGCGTGATGTGGAGTATGCCACCCCTGCCCGCCCGCCAAGATGGCCCCACGGTCCCCAACAGGCCAGGCCTCCAAGAGACCCCCCAGAGGCCTCCGAGAGGCGCCGAGCACGTCCTGGGGCGCCTCCCAGGAGCATTCGAGAACGCCACCGAGAGGCCGCCGAGCGGCGTCGAGAGATCCAGAGCGGTCCCCAGGGTGTTGCCGGCCATGCTCCCAGGAGCCCTCCAGGGGGACTCTCCAAAATCGGGGAGACAGAGGACTCGGGATCGGGGGTCTCGGGTTGGCCTGACGAGGCCATCATGACTCTGACGAGGCCCAGTCTGAAATCTGGCGCGAGCTCCCGCTGCATACATCCCACGAAAATTGGACCGTCAAAATCCAGGAAACGCTCGTCAAAAAGCGTCGGCGAACCCGAGTTCCGGCGTACTCGAGTCTTACGTTTCCCCGACAAAAGCATTGGACGGGTGCGGATGACAAGGGTCAATCGGGAGGGGCTACTCGCATCCCAAGGAGCCGCAGTATTCTGAGCCATGCTCCCACGGTCGGAACTTTTGCTTAGCGTGTCGCGGCGGCGGCCCTGGCAACACGCGAGCTGATAGCGGGTCGCTCTGGTCTGTGGGGCGGGAGGCTAACGACTGGGGGCGCGGACGTGGTTAGCGTGTCGGGCCGAAGTGTGGTGGGCCAGAACCGGCGGCGCGACACGCGAAGCCAACGTTCCAGACTGCACTCGCAGCGCAGAAAACCACATTCTTCCGAACCATGCTCCTAGTAGCCTCCATGTGGGCTCTTGGGATTTGGCTAAAGACTGCGGAGGGGAAGGGGGAAGCTAGTTTGCACATCAGGAAGCCGAAGTACTCAGACGAATTCCCCTTGGAAATCTCCACAGGTACTCTGCAAATAGATGAATTGAAATACGCTGTGGTCGTCGATCATTCCCAGCACGCCCTTTACCCGCAGTCCAAGCTCGGTGGCAGGATGGGCCAGAGGCCGCTGCATAGAACTGGACAACAATCGGATGAGGGGTGCTCCCACGAATGTGCAGGTATCACGAGGGAAAAAACACACACAGACACAATTCATCGTCGACTCCCAGGAAGATGGGAAAATATGGGAATATGGGCGGGAAGACAAACAAAAACCCAGAAAATATGGAAAATGTGAGGAATCATTTTAGTTGTGTGTATTTATTTGTGTGTCCTTGGGCCCCTTGAAGGTACCTCTCGTTCGCAGTCAGCATGCCGTCCAGCCAGGGAAGCAGCTGCTTGGAGCAGTGGTCGGTGTGGAGGATCACGGGCACTCCTGGACATGGGGAGCGCAGAACGAAGCAGTACAACATGAACATACGCGACCGCCTCGAGGCCCAGGGTGGGTCGAGAAAGCGTCAGGAGTGGGTCAAAAGCGCAGGAGCGCAGTGACCTCCTGTCGGCACACTTGGCCGACTCGGGCAAACCCGAAGCCCAAAAACTTGCCATCGCTCGGCCGCCCATTCCCCGTGCAGTGTTTGATTACTTGCGAGTTTGCTTTCTGATCTCAAGATGATCCAACCTGCTCCAAGCTGGTCCAGATTTTCTGGCGCTGGCCTGGCCGACCAAAATGGCACACGTCCGAGCGATGCCAACACAATGATGGCTTCTCACTTGGAGGTCGCTTTTTTTTGGGGGGGGCAACCTTGTTTCCAAGGCCAGGTCCCGCAACGTTCGGCCAGCGCGCTTGATCAGTCAGTAGCCATCCTTACGACCCCCATTCGCAGAAAACTCTGACCTTAATGGAGGATGGCGATTAATAAATGACCGGGGGTCGTGTTCACGCGGCGGCGCCCAAGATGACGGTCAGAAAAAAACGGCCGCGGGCTGGAAAACTATGTTTTAATCGTTCTCCTCCAGTCAGAAAGCTGTGCAGAAATAACAGAAAACTATGTTTTGAATCGTTCCCTCCCATTTTTTAATTTAGTCGTCATCCCGCATTAGGTTTCCTCTCAGACGATTGGGCTGCTCAGGTCTGCTCGTACCCCACGAGCATTGCCCCCCCCTCCGGTCTCCCAGCCACACAGCTTCTCACCTCCACTCCCGCCGCCTCCCACCGAGCTTCGGCCGCCGCGCGCCCGCGAAGCCGCCGCGGCTCGTCTTCCACTGGCCACTCGCCTCCGCCGAGGCCGCTCCCCTCCTGAAACGCCCCACTCGGTACCTGGCCGCGGCCACCGCGTTGACCGCCGTCCTTGACGGACGAGCATCAGAAAATACTCCAAAAATAGTCCCCAGACTATTTTTGGACTATATTTTGACTATGTTTGGGGTACTTTCTATTTTTCGTCGAAAATCCCCCTGTAGGGGGACAGGCCCGACTTACATCACGCACCCGTATTTACCCACGTGGGGGGGACGGAGAGGGCAACGGGTGCGTGCGGTCGGATGGGGGTTACCGTTCAAACGGGAACCCTCCCCAAGGGTCCAACAACCCGCACCCATACCCATCGCCGACCGTCCTGTGGGTGTGTCCGCCAGTCCTGGGCGATCTCGACAAGCTGGGGATGAGCCCTCACGCGAACCACCTGAACCGCGGTCACCACGCGGACCGCTGTCCTGGGTGATGACCTACAGGGGGGGAGGCCCAGAGATGGCTAGGGGTCCCTCAGGGCACCATTTTTGAACCGCTGGTCTTCGTGGAAGGAGGGGAAGTTGCCTGGGGGGCAACACGATGGCGCAACGGGGGGTGCCTGGCGCCCTCCAGCGCAAGGACTCGGCGACTACCGCGCCACTAGGCCGCTGCCGCGGGGAACTCGCGACCGCCGCCCTGCTGCGTGCACGTTGTCTGCAGCTCTCTCTCTTGTTTACTTCGAAGACGAAACGCCCGCATGAGCGAAAACTACTTTCGAAGCTGCGCGCAGAATTCTTGGAAAAGCGCTGACCCCCCCTCCCTAGCGCGCGGAGCGCGCCAGGGGGGGCGCCGGAGGCGCCGCCAGGGGTGGGCTCAGCGCCGATGCGAATCCGCACGGAGCTCCGAAAACGTATGTTTATGCTGGTCCTCTTTTCCGACAATTGGAGAGCGAACGCAGGCGGAACATTTCAATTCACCAACGTGGTCGCAAAGAGATCGACCGCGCCAGACAGGGCGCACTGCCACCGCGAGTGTGGTACGCATACGTACACCACGCGCACGCGGCGCAAAGGGGCCATGCAGCTCCGTCGTCAGACCCTGATAGGCCCGCCGCCCAGTCCACAGCAAGCCCCCAAGCCTCATCTGTGCATGAATTCGCCCCACGGAGACGGACATCCATGCACCGACGCGGTCGGCTAATGGGGGAAAACTCCTAGAGGACATGCGATACTGACTGATAACACATGCTCGTGCGTGGGTGCGTTGCGTTCGGTGCGCTGCGCCAGGGATTACACATTACACATTCCAAATCTTCGGCGAACTAACGCATTGTATACTTTCTCAGGGAACCGAAAACGGTGCCCGCGGCTCCCTGGGCGGGCGCGCGTGCATGTTTGGTCCCCGCGCCCCTTCGCAAGGAGAATTACGTCGAGGTTCGACCAACTTTGGCAAAATCACGTCGGTGCATGGATTTACTTCCACGAAATCGGAGGGTCCGCGGGGCGGATTCCTCCCCTCCTCTTCCGATTCCTGCAATGGTTCCAGAAGGCTAATAATCAGCACCCCGACAAACGACCCGGTGAACAAATGTAGCAGAACTGGCTTGTTCAGTAAACGCCCAGGGCCGTTTAGTAAACGCCAATTATGGGGTCGGGGTGGTCCTTCCCCCCTACTGGAGCCCCATTGTCGGGCTCGACCCCTTCCTCTTCCTACTGATCCGCTTGCGCCTCCTCATCCTCCTATTCATTCTCGTTTCTCTGGGGTATCCGAACGGTCGCAGCTCACCCCGGAAGGCGGGCTGTGGGGCTATCGTTCCAGTTCCCCCCTCGCCTCCTGGCCCCCTCGCGGACCTCTCCGCCAACAGGCTGAACGACCTGTCTGTCAGCGGCCTGCTCTTCCAGAGGCGTCCCAAAGAGGGTCCGACGAAATGGGGTCGGAGGATCGCGCCGCACCGCCGATACATCGGCGATGAATTTTCGACGTCAACGATGTATCGGCGCCGTGCGCGTGGAGTAAATCGGGCTCCACATCGAGCTGCATCGCCGATGCATTGGCGATGCGGCGCGACCTACCTGCCCCACCTATTCCGACCGATGGGAAGCTTAGATACTCTTGGGCGACGCTGCGCACCACCTGCACGGCGGTCTTCTATACAACTCCTCTCTCAAAGTGGAACGTTGGCTCGCGTTCCCACCATCGGCCCTTGCTGCTGTGCGCCCGCTGGTGGGCTCTTGCGGGCGGACGGGCACATTGGGTGTTTATTACTGGGGGGGAGATATGGGGGTCAAACGTGCGCGTTCCGTCATTTTTTGATCCTCGAAGGGCTCCTAATTGAAAGTGAGATCGTAGGCCCAAACAAATACTACGCCTTAGGCGTAGCATCCGACCCAACTTGTTGTGTCGCCGTAGCGGTAGAACGATAGATAGAAGATGGCCGCGTGAACGGCAAAATGACATCTCAAGGGGTTGATGTCCGCATCGATGCCTATTAGTTTGTCGCGGCGCGACACACTCATATAGGCGGCCGGGCACTAGAGCCCAAACGGCCGCGGACAAACGCTGGCTAACTCTCGCCTGTGCCCTTCCTCATTGAAAGTCAGGGGGGGAAGGGGACCTTTTCACATCATCATTGGCACCGCCGTCGAAGCGACGAGAGCCGGAGTCGTCGTGCAAGTCTACCTCGCCCGTTGGTATCACCGCCTTGTAAGCGATCTTCTTTGGGCAACCCTGCAGCTGCTTGGTGATCGCGTGGAGTCGTCGCACTTGCATATTGGTCACTTCCTGGGCACGCTGCAATGATACAACATATGCCGTTCGCCATACTTGTGTGCTGAGGGCGTAAGCCAAAGCGCCTCTGAGGCTGAGAAACATATCAACGACCATCTTCGCTGCCTTAGTCTCAGCACCTGCGCCTGTGAGATCGCGTTTCTGGATAGGACGGAGTTGTCGTATGTATTCGTTTTGTATTATGATACCTCACAACATAGTTGGTATATGCATGTTTGTTGAGTTCGCACTTCCCAAATGTAACTTCAACATGCTTGACGTGTTCGTCCATGGTGTCCTCGGTACTGGCTATGTATATATCATCAACATGCTTGGCGGTGAAGAGGTTGGTCCTCGTCTCAAACTCTTCGTCGTAGGACGTGGGTCTGGGTGAAAGCTATCACGTTGTCTTTCTAAGTTTCGGTGGGAAGGCTCTTGGCGCATCTTTGGTGCCTGTGCCTGGTTTGAGGCACTGTTGACAATGTCTTGACTCGTCATGTTGCTCGAATCGTGGGGGCGATATGAGCGCAGATGCTGGCCGAGGTGGCAGGGCAAATCGCACTACGCAATCCTTTTCACCAGTTGCTTCGGCGAGTTCTTGATCTGTGAGCCACCCCTTTTCAGGACAGCCATGCCGATCTCAAGGAAAGCAATGGTCCACTGCTTCCTGCACGCTGCCGCGCAGGTGATCAATAGCTGGCTTGACCGCCGCGCTATTCCTGAGATCGTTTCCACATCCGAGGCTCCGAGGTCCATGAAAACCCGAAGTGACAGCCGTGACCTGGCGGTGCGTTCCACTTCGCTCTGTTCATTCTGAACGACTTGCCATGTGCAAACGTATCTCGAAGTCATGGTGCTTGACGCTTTGGAAATGTCTTGTGCTTGTGAACGCTTGTTGTCAAACCGTGTCTCGCGTGCATTATACACGGCCTTTTGCTACCTGCGCTGGATTCGCCCGGACATCTGCCTTCGTGAGAAGGTCACTACGACAGCTCGTCGTCCTCCTTGACGACTAGAGCTCGTTTAACTGTAGCGGTCACATATACTCGCATCGTGGTAACACGGTCGACGTCCAATATCCTATGTTGTTGTCCGGATAGGACTACCTCCGACTTCTCCGTCGTGAAGCAAAGCTCTACAGACTGTCCGTGCTCGTGGGTATCAAATCCATATCTGCTATCGTCGTCCGTGGCGCACAGCGGGACATGATATGACTCGTTTGTGCTGATACTCCATGGGTTGGTCACGCCACGTAGGCATGTGCCCTCGCTGTTCGTCAGCAGCTGTGGCAGCTGCGGTCAGCAGCTGTGGTCGTTACTAAGGTTGCTTCCTATGGTTCCCTTTCGTCTTGTAGTTCTGCATGTCACGCCTCCATGATGTGTGCCTCGAGATCCGCCTTTGGTTTCCCATGGATTGTGGGAAGCCGGCCGCCCTCCTGT